CTACTAGTAACAAGGGCATCGCTACTAGTAACAAGGGCATTGCTACTCGTAACAAGGGCATTACTACTAGTAGCTAGAAGCGCCAGGATTGGTTTTTGTGGCAGAACCCGTTCAGCCCCCAAACGCTCGGGGAGGCTGATTGACAACAACAGGGTGTTTGGTTTCACGTTCAATTGGGATTGGAAGCCTATATATATATACATATATATATATATTATATGTGTGTGATCCTGTATGTTTTGCTGCTCGCTTTTTGCACACGTTGCAAGTTTGGAAGTCGCATTGTCCGCTGCTCAGGCTACCACATATCAGCAATGCCCAAAAATCACCGGATCAGGACTGACAGCAAAGTTGAGTGGCTGAAGCCAGCTAAAGCAGCTCTTGAGGTAGCGGACATTTGTTTGACTCCATCCCATCCATGCTTGGCTGGCCAAGAACTTGAATGGTTCTCAGATAGGAATTCACTTGCCTCAAGAAACATGGAAGGATATGTGTAATAGTAGGTGGCACGGGCGATAGGCCAAGGAGGCTGAGTAAACTGATCAGTGCACCAACAAGTGTCCAAAATAGACAGAGAGGATGCCATCCTGGAGCTGGATTTTTTCGCCTCTTAGCTTGACTCTCTTGTGGGTCCCTAGAAGGACTGCCATGAGTTAGTGTCATCCTTTGTAAATGCACAGTTGTGTGAACGAATTGGTTTTGTTACAAAAGGCGCTTGTATGCACCCCAGATGCTTCCCGGACCTCGAAAGCCTTCAAAGGTGTTCTGTCTTTTTTGAACCCCTGCATTGGAATATCAAAGGCCGTGCCTTACTACTTAAGGCGCTGAATCCTCAACAGGCCTTTTGCGACAATGTTTGTTGCGGAAGTCAGGCCTCAAACCACCTTGAATGAAGGCATTGTAGACTGGTGCAGGCATGCCAGGAGTCCAACTAGTTTGGGGAAATCTCTCTTGCCCGCTCCTGTTGCTCCTGCTGCTATGTTTGCTTCACTAATCACTGTCAAGCCAAGCACCGTTTACCCTTGAAGCATCATGTCTCATTGGTTGCGGATATTTGCGGTATGTTGTGTTGAGCTGGCTCATTGGTTTCTTGAGCTGTGCTTAGGCTTCGCATGGAAATTGAAGCCTCTGTGGCAACCCTTTTCTTGGCAAGCACAAGCACCCCAAGTGGAGAGGATCAAGGTTCATGAAGGACGTGCCTCAGCACCTTACCTGCGCAGAACAGTCCGCAGATGTCAATATTGGTCACCTTTCATTGCCTTGATTGCTTGATTTCTATTACTCTGGGTGGCCAAGCAACAAGTGGGCTGGCCGTGCAGTGAATGGAAAACAGAACATTATGATGTGCCTCACGCACTTTGAATGAGGATAATTGACCAAGTTCTCGCTTGTACAGTTCTGAAGTGCATGGCTGACAAATGACAAAGTGCCTTGAGCTCACACAAGGACGCGACACATCTTGACCGCAGGCCCTAGGTACACCATAGATGTCGGATTCAGCGAGGGCTTAAGCGGACGGTGGCGGGTAGGATTCGTCGGTGTCAGCCGTCGGCGACGAGGAGAGCTGTAGGATCTTGGACGACACTGCACCAGATATCAACGCTGCGACAACGCGTGTATATGCTCATTAATTTGTTGCTTGGTGTTGTCTTAACGTATGTATGTTGTTTTTTCTTTAGACCTGTCGTGGCCTGTCCTTGTTGTGCGCATCTTTTGAAGACGAATCTTGAGTATAGCAGGGTGTTGATCTTGGACGCAACTTAATACTAACAGACTGATGCTACTAACTGCTTGCACAGTGCCCGTTGGCCAACATGATGAGTATATAATAACTTCTAATGATGAATCCGTGGAAAGCATGGGATCAAATTTTGCATGTGTCCTGCCAAATATAGATGTCTTCACGTGTCTTTCATGGCCAGAAGGCGTCATAGCGGCACTTCTTGCTGCCTGGGCAATATTGACCTGGCGTATTTTCGACGTTGGGGAACCCATGGGAGCCCAGAGCCGGCCAGAAGTACAAGTGGAAGAGTCAGCTCGAGTTCAAGTCGTAAAAACCATGTTTGCAAGCAGCTAGCATGAGTACTTGAGTGGTGCCGCGATGGTTGATGGTCTCACACTTCTTTAGCCCTGCTGTTGCCTATCATAAGGGATCTTGGGGCAGCTAGGGTTCTCAAAGTCTAGCTTACTCGCAAGAAGGTGGGAAGGTTGAGGTAGGAGACGGTGACATGCAGTGAAATGATGTGAAATGGCTAAGGATACACGGACTGGCCTGATCGTGGCAGCCCATCACTCAGTTCTGAAGTTTAGCAGGATAGCGCGGCCTAGGTCATGGCAGGTTGTCAGTTTATCAGATTTTTGTGCACAGACCGGCCAGAAAGTCGAAAACAGTTCTTTGTGCCTCGCAAGCTTTGCGGCCAACTTGTTCTATTTGACTGATCCGCTGAGCATGCATCACAGTGCTGCTCTTGGAGTCTGAGGCGATGACAGCAATTGGGGGAACACTGATTGAGGCCCATTGTTTTGCCCAGTTCACTCTGCAAGCTCGATTGCTGAAGAAATAAGGAATCATGTTGTCCGAATCATGGGACACAAGTAGGTTCCTCGAAATGAAGATATAAGCACTGAACAGCATAAACATTGGACGCTTGTTTTGGATCCTGTATGAGCTCAGATCTTTTTGGTCAATGCTCCGTGGTGGGACCTCTACGCATACGCTCAGGCGCCATCGAAGAGAACTTGTTTCGCCCATCCAAAGTGCATCAAATTGTAGCATTGCACTCTTGTTGATCTTCAAGAATAGCTTGAAGATTTCAGATGTGAGTTCAACATAGTTTTGACATACGCTCCGAAATGGTCATGAAACCATGGAATGCTGTTGTGGCTGCCGGCACCTGATCAACCTTTCGGCATCGCCTCTCGCTACTTGTCTCATAGGCTGATTTCTTCGGAGTCGACAGCTGGACCGGCCATGTTTGGAGCCTGCATGTTGGAAGAATGAAAAGGAGGGAGAAAGGGGGTAGCATAAAGGATGCACTGAGTGAGAGAGGAGGGAGTGACAGACAGAGAAGTTAGCTCACAATCTATAGCTAGTCATGCTCCAACGGCGTTGATTTCTAGGTGTGGCCCGCCCTCCCGCATCTATGCACTGCTAAAATGCTCTCGACTTGCTTGGGCTGGCTTAGCGCCATGAAAACCCTGCTAGCACATGCCCAGTGCCAATTCTTACAAAGCGCTGATGCATCTCAACACAGGCTTTTGGGTAAAGCCACATCAACAACATCAGCAACAGCACATACACATACACATACACAAACACAAACACAAACAACAACAAACTGGACGCGACATGCATCGAATGCACCCGGACAATGCGTAAGCGCATCACCCGAATGCACCCGGACAATGCGTAAGCGCACCACCCGGGTTGATGTCGCTCTGGGCGCGACAGGCATTTGAACGAAGCTCAAAAACAGTTCATGTCAACTGCAAGCTTCTACGAAAGGCTTCCGTGCATACTGCAGTACACTTCTTGATTTGTGCGTGTATCGAAACATGAGAACAACTGTGTTTGACCGAAAGGACGGCTTCGAACGAGGTGTCGAACTTTCACACCCCCCCTCAAACACATGTTGTGGTACAGTTGTACTACTCTATCACATTTCATGGATACTGCAGCTTATAGGCCTTTACAGGCGAGCCAAGCTAGGATCACTTCGAGATCCGAATGCACTGCTTGCAAGGCTTCACTGTCCTAGTGCAGTATTGCACAAGTGGATTACCCTGCAGGCATGGACATGTATTGTCCTGCTGGACTTTGTGGATATAAGTCGGGCGTTCAAAATTGAAGCACAGGGTCTGCTCATTGCTACTGAGGCCTTCAGCGAGGCAATCCGGACACAAAGGTCGCTTGACCACATCTTTCTCCTTCATCTTCCTCACCATGCCGCAGGCGGTAGCATGGATCCGCTCGCCAGTTCGGATACAGATCACATAAATTGGCGGCTCAGAGCTCGTCTCATTCGCCGGTGAGGTCGATGGGATCTCTTCTGCCCCTTTGCCACGTCCTGGAGGAGAATGGCTTGGAGGGTGTGGTGATGAGCTCTTCGGAGGCGAACAGCTCGGTGGATGTGGAGAAGCACTTGATGTCGGGATCATGTCCCAATCTCCATTGGATGAGCTCTTTTCTCCATCATCAGCAGCCGTGGCATACCTTTCAATCTTCTTCTTGCCCTCTTCAACCTTCAGGTTGACGCTCGAAGATCCCTTCTTCTCAGCTCCTTTGAATTCTCTCTCGGTCACCTTGTCCTCCGAACCTTTAGCACCTGAGGCTCTGCTCACATTGATCTCGACGTCGACAGGCGAGTCGCTGTCGACATGCACAACAATCTTTGGCGCCATGTCCGCTCGACAAGATGATCAAGTGATCAAAACTATATATACTTATGCATGCCTATCGAATTGTGTCCATCATCGTGGAGATTTCAGTTCGGTATCTATTGGCGCTCAACGCACAACATACCATGGTGGGTGGCAAAGCAAACATGCATGCTCCATTCAAGAACTAAGTCGGGTCAATTGATTCACAATTTTAAACATGTTCATCTCAAGTGTTCCAATCAAAGTTCAAAGAATCTATTTAAACACTGGATTGAATTCAAAACTCTATCACGTGATTCATGTCAGTTCGCAGCCACTGACGCACGGGTCTTGCTCAAGAACCAAGAAGCGAACTCGGCGGCAAGCATTCGAGGATATCGAGCGAGATCGTGCAGGTGCTGACCATTCAAAGACTGGTGCTTTGAACATGTGCAAACCTTGGGCTGACACATCTTGATGTTGCAACAAACACGGAACATGTGCCTTGCAGGCACCTCGAGCTCAATCTGATACATACACCACTACATACACCTGGGAAACACCTCAACCCATCTCAACTCCAGATCCTGGCAGACCGTCTGAACCAGGGTGGATTTCCAGTACGTCGAGTGGCTCGAAAGCTCCAAGCACCGCAGGTGGCAGACACTCATGACACTTTTGCACTCGTTCAGCAGGTGTGCAAACTCGCGAAAATGAGTCTCCTGCAGCTCAAATCGTCTTGGCGGGGCGATCAGGTTAAGCACTGGACTTCCTCCTGTACATGGTGGACTGCTCCAACACAAAACCAAAACATCATCAAAAATCGAACACAACCAATCAGTCAGGATGTTCTTGATGACCTGAAGCTTACATTCCTTGGTGACAGGGATGATGCCTAGCTTTCGAAACTCATGCAAACCACAAAGTTGGGAAAAACCGGCATCTCGGGTTGTGAAGAGGTCAACTAGGACATGTGACACCTGACCCTTCCCGATTTGCGACTTGAGGCGCTCTAAGCTCTGGCGAAAATCATGGATGGCCTTACTATCAGGCTCATTCACAGAAACACTGAGGCTGGGCGTTCCCTCGTGAGATTGTTCGTCAATCTCTTCATGACTGGATCCATGGGATGGCTGTACGTCAGCCGGGCTAGATGCGATGGCATCAACATCAACTCTCGGTTGTGGTACCTTAGACTTTCTTCTTTGACTCAAACTGCCAAGATTCGGGGGCTGTTCGTTCAGTTATCCCAATCTGGCATCGATGAAACTCTGTGGCTTCACGATTCAAAATCTTTGTCAGCAGGTCGGCGACACAAAGCTTTCCTGAAATCCATCGAAGAACCAAGTGGCCGCTCTCAACAAGAGACTGGATGAAACAGGTGGCCAATGACATGTGTCTCACTCTCCTAGAAAGCCCTTGGTTTTGAAGTGCTGCCAAACACGATTGGGAATCCGAAAACACAATGATTGGGTATGTTTCTCGTACTGCCAATCTGATCAAATGCAATGTCTTTCTCATGGAATCGTGCCAACTCGCTTGGATCAGCAAAATTCTCCAAAAACTCAACGAGGTGGCGCAGTCCAATGCATTCTTGGGAAATCTGACATACTGCAATCACTTCGGATTCACATGACGAAAGCGTTATGCAATGTTGCACGCGGCTGTATCCCTTGATTACACTCCCCTTCCAATAGATCACACCTCCGCTGATCGATCTCCATTGCTCTGCATCGGAACTTCCCCAAGATGCATCCGAAACACCAGTGATGCCGTCATAGAATGAAATGGAAGTGCTGTTGGCTGGGTACTCTTGATACAAATGAGCAACTGATCTTACAAACCTCAAATACTTGCGAAGCATGTTCTCATGGATGTTGGTGGGTGTTGCTTGACCTATTGACAGGAGTGAAAGAAATCTTGCATGGTCTGGACGTGACTGTGCCACCAAGCCAACTTGCCTACCAGCTTTCGGTAGCGTGCGGCTGCTTCGTCCGTAAGGACCGTGATGCTGCTTGGGTCTTTGTGTTCTTTCTCAAGGATGGCCAACAGATCTGGAGGAACAGGTGAGGCTTTCAGATCACTACAGAATGGTTCCGTCTCAAACAAATCTTCCAAGTACTTGGCGGGAACCCTCACATACAATGATGTGGATCTTTGTGGACGAATCACCTCTCTCCCCAAAAACATCAACGAACCACCCTCATGTCGTGAACTGGTGATCGAACCTGTGACCTTGACTTTCAAAGACTCTTGTAGCGATGCCTTGACATCTTCAATGCCTTTTGGCGACAGCGAAGCAACCAGAAGGTCATCAACGTACACAAGCACTGCAGTCGGACACTCCGATGGCTTCGACATGCCTGCTAAGATCGTCTGTTCGCTGGGGCATGTGACAAGTCCTGCATTGTCCCTCAAAATCTGAGAACACGTGCCTAGCCAAGCTTTTGAAGCAACACGTAATCCATTCATTGCACGTGTAAGATCAAGAAACACTGGCTGGTATGAATCTTCAGCGAACGACAAGTCAGCTGGCAATCGAATGATCGCTCTCACTCCCCGCGGGAGATCGCTGTGCAAAAATGCTGTCGAGATGTCCAGGCTCGTCAACCAAAGGTCAAAGTATTGGACCGCAGCAATGAAAGACCTAAATGCCTCAATGCTTGGAGTCGAACTTGATATACCTAGGTTGTGCGCGGACTGAGATCCGGATGCGACCTCCTGGACAACACATCGTGCACGACATTGATTGATCTTTCCATCAATCGTCTTGGCCGTGAGCACCCATCGTGAACCGATGATTCGAACTCCAAGTTCGTGGGACAATGTCTTTGCGGCATGCTCAACGAGTGGCGTGCCCACTTTGAGTTTGTCCACGGCGATCAGTTCGGTCATGCGGCCAGTCTTCACAAGGGCTGGACTAAATGTCGTTTGCTGATCTTCTGAAATGCCAAGTTCGGGTTCGATGAGGAAAATATCTACTCCGCAGAAATGGAATGGCTCTGATCGAAGTTTCTCGGCGCTCTTTGGGGGAACAAATATTGGACAGTAGACTCCTTGCCCTGAGACCCGACCGGAATGATCACGGACAAGCTCCTCAGGCGGTGGCATCAGCCAAGACATGAATGTCGAAACATCCATCGGCAGCTTCAT